GTCCGCGCTGGGTAGGGAAACCCAACACCGAATGGATTGGGACTGTTGATATTCCATATCATTCAGGGACGTCGGAGGCCATTTGAACGACTCTAAACATTGCTAACATGAGTGGCTTTCCAGAGCAGAATTGCTTCGCTCTGCACGGATGCAACGGAAGGATTGACTGCAGACAAACTTTAAAAGTTGATCGTCTCGATTGAACTAAGAACTGTATGGGACAAATGGGCAGGGAACTTTACATCAGATTCGGAAAGCATAGGAGAAAAATGGCGGGCTGTAGATATACGCGGATTAATATCGAGCGTAACTAAAAGACTTGGCAATGGCGGAAAGTGCACTGGATATGAGACAAGATAGATTTTGAGAACGTTGGGATTTTAAGGTGAGAACTCCAAGCATTTTAGGGTTAATAGAACAGGAGTCGTTGAACTGGCAAGCGTGTGCAGAACCGTTTCGGAATGTCGAGCTGACACGGATTGGTGCGCGTCTATCAGGGGTAGTCACCATCGTAAGCGCACCTAATTTCACCCACCTTCACCAAACTAAATTATCGCAACACTCACAAGTGCACACAGACTAACGAAATTTACCAGTGGCACCCAGAGTAAACAATCAGTCGAGGCACAATGAGGTGAAAGATTAAAGAACCAAACGCGATTGGGACCAAGTTGACGTCCCCCAACATATCGACGCAAGATTTAGGCGATCACTCTAACCGAAAAAACCTTTAATTGATATTCAAGACGGATGTAGTGCGCTAATCTGAAGGGGTCTTTGCGAGTGGTTCCCCGTCCGCCTTAAAACCTGACCATCTTGGTGACCTGCTCACTTAGCTTGATGAAGCCTTGCCCAGCTAAATACTGCTGATAGCTTTTCCGGGCCATTCTTAAGCAGTAACTTCTCAATCAGTTCCAAACTGTTTCCTATTGATGTACCCACCCTTCATGAGCCCCGGTCCTCACTGGGTTCTTGAGAGCTCTGTTAATGAACCACTTCTGTTTCACATTTACATCAACGAGGTCCAAACCTTCTTCAAGTCCGAGTTTACTCTTCGCGGATGACTGAAAATCATAGAGTTGCACAGCCAGCACCTACCAAATGTATTTTGACGCTGCAAAGCAGCTCTAGCTGGACTGGCACCTTCCTCTGAATGGCGAAAAGTGTGTCAATATTACATTCAGAGGAGACTAAACAAACGCGTTCGTCGTGCGTGTTCGGAGTGAACTGGAGGACACTAATAGGACAGATATTAAACATTGTTTAGGTATGTCGCTGTCTTCAAAATTGTCCTTCTCACTTCAGCATGAAAAATCGGCTCAAAAGGCATTCATCACTCCACGAGTGATGCGCACTTTCCCCGTATTACTCGAATGGGCTTCTAGATAATCTATGGGACCTATGTCCTGAATATGTCAACCAAGTTGTCTAGTCTGGACACAAGAAGGATGTAACCTTTATCAAACGTGCCTCACGAGCTGCTTCGAAGGTGGTCACCGACCTTAAATCCGTTGAGTATGGAACGCGTCTCGCTGTGCCTGATGTGTTACCCCTGAAATATCGTCGCCTCGAGGGAAACCTAATACTTATTTATCTCCTATTTGAATAAGACTTGGCCAATAAACTTTGGTAGTTGACACGACTCCCACCCGTTGGGAGGGTGGTAAGATTTCCAAGCTTAGAGCACATCTTTTTAGGCAACAACTTTTCTAATTTTTGCGTGACAAACATGCTCGTGTTTACGGACAGCTTAACCCAAGCCAAGGACGAAGGATTCATATCGGATGTCATATCTTTCGACTTCTCAAAAGCATTTGATAGGGTCCCACTGCTCCCGCTGCTCCACAAACTCGAGGCTTACGGGATTCAAGGGAGAATCTTCCGCTGGACCAAGGCGTTCCTATCAGACAAATCATTCTGAGTAAGAATAGTCTCGACCTACTCTTCTCCAGCGCAGGTCTCCATTGGAGTTCCTCAAGGCTCCGTCTTTGGACCACTCCTGTTTCTGATCTACTTCGACGACCTCCCAGATGTTCTTGCAAGTCCATGTCTACTTTTTGCGGACGACTTGAAATCCTGGTGTTCCAACGCCAGTATCCTCCAAATGGATGTAGACGCTGCCAAGCAGTGGTCGTTGGACTGGCACCTTCCTCTGAATGATGAAAAGTGCGTCCATGTGTCGTTTGGAGGGGATTCAGCGAATGCCTTTGTTATGCATGGTGAAAAGGGACCAGAAAACATCATGAGGATAGATGCCAAAAAAGATTTAGGCATCTGGGTCTCCTCAAACTTGTCCTTCGCACTACACCATGAGAAATCGGCCCAAAAGGCATTCGCCGTTTTACGGATGATCCGACGTACCTTCTCCCGTATTACTCGCATGGACTTCCAAATACTCTATGGGGCCTACGTCAGACCGCTCCTGGAGTACGCCAACCAAGTTGTCTACTCAGGACGTACGAAAGACGTTACCCTCATTGAGCGTGTCCAGCGGGCCGCCACGAGAATGGTTGCCGGCCTCAAATCCGTGGACTACGAAACGCGTCTCGCGATGCTTGATCTCTTTCCCCTGGAGTACCGTCGCCTCCGAGGGGACCTAATTCTTACTTATGCCCTGTTTGAACAAAGCTTGGCAAACAGGTTTTTCACCGTTGACCCAGCAAACACACGGCGGGGACATAGTAAGAAAATTTTCAAGCTCAGAGCACACACATTCATTAGACAAAATTTTTCTCATTTCGGGTAGTAGGTGCGTGGAATGGCCTTCCTCCGACGGTTTTCCACGCTCGTTCTAAAACCCAGTTTAAAGCTCTGTTAGACATTTATTTATGCGAATCCTCGCGCTGGCACGCATACTGCCTCGCGCTGAGAACATAAAGAGCAGTGCTACACCCTTTTTCACCTGTGCCTTTCAGGTGAACGACAGCCACTGACCGACAAGAACAAAACCGACCCGGGAAACCTGGGCATCAATCATCAAACCTGTGTATCAATCCGTGAATCCGTGAATCATTTCGAACGACTGTGTGCTTGGGGTGTGGAATGACCGTCCTCCACTCCTTATCCACACCTTTTTTTGCTTATGCCTTTGAGGTGAACGGAAGCCGCCGAACGATAATCAGAAACCCGATCCAGGAGACCTGGGCAAAAGTCCCGGTCCCGTGTTTAGATCTAGAAATCTGTGGCATTCTCGACCAATCAATGGGTGCCTAAATTTGGTCCGTAGCCCGCATGTCACATTCGTTCAATCGGCGTGATGACCGCTTGTTAAGAGTGTCGCGCAGGACCCGCACGCCATCACCGGGACCAATCAATGCCTAAATTTGGTCCGTAGCCCGCATGTCACATTCGTTCAATCGGCGTGATGACCGCTTGTTAAGAGTGTCGCGCAGGGAGGGCCCGCCATCACCGGTCTCGACACCATTTATATACCAACCTGACTTTGGCCTTCATAGACCAGCTGCCCGGTCCAGACCGCAAGTCGCCGACTCTGGGCCTCCGGAAAAGGTGTGTCCAGAAAGCCTGAAGTTGATAGGGGTGTCGGTTTGTTTTTCAGAGTTCAAAAAGCTCCACATCTCCTGTGGAGCTTCCCGTATTCCTCTATCGATCGATGGGGAGATGGCGCTGTATCGCGAAGTTGCACACAAATTTGTGTCCAAATTATTTTACGTTAGTTGAGATGAGTCCCATAGAGTACCCAATTCATTGTGTTTCATAGCCATTGGATTTGGGATTGGTAATCGTCTTCGTGGCAGCCTGCTGGATACGTTTAGTGCAAGTTACATCTTGCACCCTGAGTTGGTTAGTGGTCCGAGGTCTAAGCAAAGCAGCTCCCTGTCTTCTAGATTGTAGGCTATAACATGTGCGACTGCTTTTTATGTAAAACAACTGGCCACTATTGCTCTCACACTGAACTCGCTTGGTATTTGCGTGTGAGGAACTCTGCTGCTCCAGAGGCCACTGCAGCCGGACGTTCAGTGATTGGCGTCGCCTAATTTACTGAGCGGAAGAATCCTTCTATGACTGATTACTTTTTGTTGATCACCTCAGTGTGACTCGTCTTCCAACGTCCTTGAAGGTCTCTCAAAAGCACGGATTAGCTCCAAACTGGTAGCCGTGACAACCTTCTTACGACGACATAAGGGCAGATATCGTTGTTTTCCAAAGATTTAAATGCATAAATGACCATACAGCCCAACTGAGACTGAATTCAATGGCCGATTTGCGTTGGTCTCGGTACCCATGGACACTGATGGACAACTGCTTTAGCTTTCTGCTAACCGCAGATTTTTTCATGCCTTGGTAACTTCCGAAATGACCGATTTTTTTCGGGCCACGTTGTGGCCTCCATCAGCATGCCAGTCATGAATTCAAGTTGTTCACATGGCCATCAGCTGTCAATGGCACGGATAATTGACTGCCGGTTGTTTTGGAACATATTTATTAGTGCTAATCACTCTCGTCCGGAGTTGATTCTCTCTTCGTGTTCCAGGGTTGTGTAGGGTGCAGACCAGTAGCCAAACAACTGAGGGATTGTTAAATCCTTAACTTAGGCAAATTTACCGGCATTGTCTTCTGGACTCTTCTAGTTGTTCCATTATGATTTACTGACCGCAAGGCCCATGATTCGATCCCACCTGGGCATCTCGACTTCCCCTGTTTAGGTCTGGGCAACCTTGTAGTATCCCAGCCCTCGTGTTTCTTTCGGATGGCACAGCAACTAGGCACCGGAAAGGTGCTACAACTGAATGTTTTTTATTTTTCCATTGCCGGAATTGAATTTCCACTGGAACGAGTTCACCACATCTTTGTACAGTGCTGGGAGTACTGCCTATGATACGGCGCTACCAGACTCGCCCAAGCATTGTATATCGGACGAAACAGTGGCACTTCTTGAATCTCGCCGGTCCTGAACACATTCAGCCGGACGAATTATTCGCCAACTGAAGTTTAGCGTGCGCACCGACCGTTGAGCCTGGTGTAAACAAAAGGCTGAGTAGATGGAAGAGGCTCAAAAAGCCGGGAGTTCCCAAAGGTTATTTCTTGCGACCGGATCACGGAAACCTCTTGCGAGTGAAACCATCTGGGATCAAAGAAGCGCGGCCAACTTCAGTGAAGAAGAACGCCTCAACCGCTGGGTCGAGTACTTTGAACAGTTCTCGTGGCGACCTGCTACCTGTCATCTGGATCCTCGAGCTTTAGTAGAAACCTGGACTACAAACCTGGAACCTTCTACAGCTTCGGAGGTTCCTAACTGCATATGTCCTCTCAAGCGCCATCGAGCTCCTAGCCCTTGATTGCTTCTCACTCGCATTGTTCAAGTTATTCGGAGGTTCTGCATATGTCCTCTCAAGCGCCATCGAGCTCCTAGCCCTTGATTGCTTCTCACTCGCATTGTTCAAGTTAATGCTGGCCTGGTCTATTTACCCCCTTTTGGGGAACGGAGACTGTCCCAGGCATCATCATCAGCTTAAACAACTTTTCGTGCAGTGGTTATAGCTGCCACCGATGATTCGGGGAGCTCGGTAGCTAGCTGCGCATTGGAGGTGGCATAGTTGTAATCGGTGCGTCAATATAGAGTTACCAGTGAACTTTTCACCAGAGATTACGAGAGAAGCTATGCGTCAGGCAATAGCTTGACTGGACGAGCGCCACTGAGGGCGCGACTTGGCCATGTCTGACTGTCACTAATCCGTCTCCGGGGGTCTCCATCCAACGAGACTGCAATGACAAGCGCAGCTGAGTTTGATGGTAACGGTTTTCATACTTCGCTATCAAGTCATTGGTTGACCTCCCCTGGTTGGTTTCTACCCTTCCAAAGGTTGTGCTAACAGAGCTTTTCGAGGAAGCCGGTCGACTAGAGTACGGAGCACGTAGCCAAGCCAGCGAAACCTATGCAGTGTGGCGTACTTCAGCATTACTGATCCGGTGTTCCAATCAGAATCGGGAAATGCTATGAAGACATCGATGGTCAAACACTGAAAGTTTTCTGACGTCCTCAGCACACAGCCCCCAGGTTAATATAGAGCGCACGCAGCATTGTAAACCCAACCCTTGACAGATAAGCTGACGTCACGCCTAAGCCACAGGTGATACAGGTTCATGAAAGCTGCACTTGACTCTCCAACCTGAACGGAAGTAATATATTTGGGTAAACCGCCGGGACTGATACAGCTCCCCAGGTAGACAAATGTGTCTGCTACCACAATCGGTTTGAGTCATAGGCACAAGAGGCCGTTAAAAGTAAGTGCAGCATAAATGTCCACGGCAGACTGTCTAACACTGGAAGCTGTGTAGGTTAAGTCTCGTGGCGTATGTTGAGTCATCGTTAGCCAAAGTACTGTTTTCCGTGCCCATTTCAGGTTGGTGTAGTCAGAGAAGTGGTCACCCAGACAGAGTTATGAAAGAGATTCCGAAATGTTCGGATACTACCGGTGCAACTCACCTTCTAGCATGAGGATAGGGTGATCCCAAGTGTGCCTTGGGGATGATACGAGATATGGTTACTAATCGATTTCGATGGCGCTGTTGTCATATCTGAATGAGTGCCTGCGTCAAATTGGCTCAGGGGTTAGAGCGCTTATCTACTGACCGGAAGAACCGTTGTTCGAACTCGAACTCTAGACTTCTATCTAGGCTTGGGTCATCTGGCATTATTCCAGCCGTCGTGCTACCTTCAGGTGGCATGGCAGTTAAGCACCGAAATGGCTTTACAACTGAATGCATCTGGCATATTCCAGCCGTCGTGCTACCTTCAGGTGGCATGGCAGTTAAGCCCCGAAATGGCTTTACAACTGAATGATTTCTCCTTCCCCGTCCATATGTCCTATTTTCTCCGAAGAACGCCTTTAAAGAAACTATGGTTGTGCGGCAGCGCAGCATCAGTTTTGGGCGGTTATGTTGGATGGTCATCATATGTGCTGGGTTGCATTATTTATTTGTCTACGGCAGTATGTATGAATCTGATGGAAACAGCTTGTGGGGACGATGAGTACGGAAGTGCTTCAGTGTGCAACTTTAATATGGGCTATACTCTTGTTAATCATTTCATGTCCATATTTCCTGTTCTCCCACTTCCTTTTCCTAACAACAACACCAATGTCACCGAAGCAGATGAGTTTCACTATTTACTACCGGTGTATTACCATCGCTATCTTGTTGTGGAGACATCTTCGCTTTGTAAGCAACATACGACGTACTTTTTGTGGGAAACGAGAGTTTGAGATAAACCATTACTGGGTCCATTTCGATCCGTCTTTCAATCCCGTAAATTTCCTTCCACCTATAAATACACTTCCTCTCGTTTATATATTACCTTCCAGGTTCTTCTGTCCGAGCCATCAACATGCGAGTGTGTTCCTCCACGGAAGCGCTGCGTGCTCTTCTGGACGACAAGAAGTAAATGCCATATTATTTTCGAGCCTTCGAGACAGGTTGTTGTTAGTTGTTAACTTCAGTGCTGACTGGGCTCCTCAATGTACCCACGTTGCCGACGTGTTGAAGGTACTGGCAAGCGAGCAGGAAAATTCAGTGGTTGAATTCGTCGAAGTGAGTGTGTTATATTCAGTGCGTTTTCTTCGGCGCCTGCAGAACAGCACTGCACAATTTCGCTTTGCTGTTTACTGGCTGCCGTAAATCAAACGTTTTTGCCAAACACTCCATTCCTGGCCCAGCTAGCTCAGTGACGCTTCGGGGTCCTCAAGGAGTGCTAACAACTATATCCGTATGTGAAAATTATCATCACTACCATCTAGTTGAGCTGACCGTTGCCAACTGTATATTCTCGAGATTCGTGATTAGACATGTGAAAGCCCTTAATCCATTCCAAACGAAACTCATTCGTAAGTAATAGCGGTGTTACTTTAGTACAACGGTCCCCAAACTCTGGTGATGGCCAACTCACCAGGGACCTCATACTCTGTCCCACTCAAATAAAGTACATGTGTATGGTGTTTTTTATCCGTGCCGACATTCAGTTAACCGACCGCACTATGTGATTTTCTTCTCTTCAAGTTCCATTGTAGCAAACTCAGGGACAACCATCCGGTTATATTTTTTATTGATCCGGAAGCCGTCGTCTTCATTCATCAGCCTTCATATTAGAAGCATCCAGGTTAATACGTTATATGCGTCCTTTACGTTTAGCTATGTGGACTCAAGATAGCTCACTGGTTAAGAAGCAAGCTTACTGATCGAAAGGTCCGTGGTTCGAGACCATCCTTCGCATCTGCACTGTTCCTGTTTAGCCCTTGGCAACCTGACAGTAACTTAGCCCTGGTGTTTACTTCGGGTGGTATTGCAGTTATGCGCCGAAATGTTACAGCTGAACGGCTATCAGTATCATTTTTATTACTTTCGAGGCGCTCTGATCTGCTGCTGTTTACTGACTAGGTGAACATATATCATATTTGTACCTATTATGGGTAGGTATGAAAATGAACGCATCACATTGAATGCATTTGTTGGTTAATGCAGTGTTTGGCATTGTTTAGCCTTAATGCTCACGTCGAATCCAATAACCGGCGTTGCCAGCGTTGGCCATGACTTATTTGAGCATGTTATTGTTGAATTTTGCGAGTGATATTTTCTAGCCTCGCTGGCTCTCATGAAAGTTCCGAGTATTCTGCATTTGCTATCCGCACTGAAGAAACCGAATTTTTGGCGAGATGGCCCAGGTGGTTAGAGCGCGAATTTACTGACCGGAGGGTCCGTTGTTCGACCCCGACCTCTTTCTCTCAACTTCCCCTGTCTCGGCTTAGGCAACCTGGCAGTATCCAAGCCCTCGTACTTCCTTCGGTTGGCATAGCAGCTAGGCACCGAAATGGTGTCGCAGCTGAACGATCTTTTTTAAAATTGAAATTCGACGGTCATCAGCAACACATATATTCGACTTGATCCCATAATACTTAGGTTGCCCATCAGAAGAGGTGACTTTTTAACTTGTCGCTTTTAACAGACGTCACAGGCTTATGTTCCTCCCATACTTCGATTTACGGACCAATATGGCTTCCTAGATAACAACAGTTCCCTTAGAAAACCAACCAATAACGTTGGGATTACAAGCTATGAATTCTAATCTACTCATAAACCTTTAACACCAGGCACCGGTGACAAAAACCTGCGCGATTGTATGGGTCATGTGCTGTTGTCACGTACCTTTCTGTCCCAGAGGCAAGTTAAAACAATAGCCTGGCTTGGAATCGCATGCGATATGACTCATGTGCGCAAGCTACTGAACCTTCCGCACTTAATTTGAAACCTTACACTCGTCTAGTCACAAGGCCATTCTAGGATTAGTTCGCTTGTGTTCCGTGGTTCACGAGACACATGCGATTGCGAACTGATTGGTTTTAACGGGAGACCCAACTGACTCGCGGTTGAATCTCTCTCTCTCTCTCTCTTTCATTACGCTCCGAGGATTCGCAAGTTTCTCGTTGGGTCTCATGCGTATCAGCGGTCTGATCAAACCCGTCAGCTCTTACCCTTGATCAACCTGTCACACACATCAACCAACGTGAAACAGATTTGTGGATTTAATTGTGTAATGGAACGTAAATGAAAGATGTACGCATGTGTATTTCTATTCAACACGTTCACCGTCCTCATAACAGCGGATTTTGCGAACGGGCGCGCGGCCTTACGCGCACGTGAAGGGTTTTCATTCTTAGAGCACCTTAATTTCATCTCGATTTACCATTAGATGACCATCGGGACGCACAAACTAGCTCAAGCGTGCTTTGAAATTAATCCAGGGACAGATTCATGCGACTTTGAGACGTTTTAAAAGTAGGGAATTTGTTGCTCGAATTGGATGCCACCTGAGAATTGAAGAGTGAAAATTCCGATTAAACACACTGGTATCTCATCCGCAAGGGGTTTTTTTAGCATAAAAACCGTAACATAGAGTGAAACCACAGACAATCAGCCTGGTGTTAACTGAGCGAGTGTCAAATAATACAGATATTTCAGAATTTCGATCATATGGTCTAATTTGCTGATCAGGTGACGTCCCAGTAACAGAGTTGTGTATTGCGGAGTATCTTTTTGTCTTTCTTTCTAAGGTGTACATATGTTTTCCTTGGGTTTTTGTAGTGGTCCGGAGACATACTTTCTACAACAACTAACTCCGGTAGCCGACGAAATACAATCATTTGCCGTTCGCGTTACTGTTACCGAGAGACTCAACTCATTCTTTCATTTCTGCTATTCTTCAGCTGAAGAGTCTTCGACAACCCTATGCGTAATGTGTTCCCAATAAAAAATACTTTGCTACCTCGAAAGTTGTGCTAACTCACTCATGAAGCGGCCTTTATGTAGATCATTCAGTTGAACTATATCACAAACGAGGGATTCATTTGAGTCTCTCATTAACCCCAACGTAATTTTCAAAAGAGCATATTTCGTCAGTTGCGTACAATTTGGTGTTCAAGTGGAAGATTAGGTTGATAGAATCCCGAAGATCACGCCTAACTAATGAGCTCCAAGAAAGACTAAACTGTTGTTAGGCTGTCGCAGAACTTTCTACGACCTTATGAACTCCGTGTTCCGTCAAGAAATAACCCCATAAACTTTGGAGACTGCTCTCAATGAAAACTTTGTGACCTCTAGGCATTAGAACCACTGTTCTCTTGGATCTTTGTGTGTATTCTTGCCGAATATTACGTACTAATGATAGAAATGGTCTAATTGGTCACTCATTGACCATAAGTAGTGTAATTCTGTTCCATCCACCCATCCGTCCATCGACTAGTTCGGTGGCACTACGGCGAGCGGAATGATGGCTCAGTAGCGTGGGTTGCGGTCGTTCTTTCCGACGACGGTCTCGTCATTCTCATTGGACGTGCGATTACGCGGAGCTCATGAGACGCGGGACGTGAACGCACATGAGTAAGTAAGTCAGCAGCACACATCATCATCATCAACGACAGCGTGACATCAGTGCTCAACACCAATGCTTCACTGCCGTACAGCCATGACTTACTTAAAAGCCTTATTGTAAAGAAAAGAATAAAGGTGGATGGGGGAGGGACTTAGTGCTAGCTTAACACAATCATTCCGAGGTGCCTACACCTCCAGACATTCACTCAGGCAATCTGGACAGAAACTGACAACAAGAACGCCACTGACAACGGTTGGCAGCCATATCTTGTAGTGCTCTCTGTTTCCCCACTCCGAATTGGGCATGGAAAACAGTACTCTCTTCGGCAAACGATGGTTCGGCATACGTAACACATGTCCCAACCAACGCAACTTCTGGTGCTGGACACATTCTTCAATGGAAGTACCCGTTACACAACCGAAAACACGCTTTCTGACTGCCTCGTTACGGATTCGCCGACACCAACCCACGCGAGCTATGGTTCTGAGACAACGATTGTCGAACATCTGAAGACGTCTCAGTTCCGCTGCTCGAATAGGCCAAGTCTCACAGCCGTACAACAAAACAGCCCGAACTGTAGCTTGATACACACGTCCCTTCAGACTCAGGGATAAACCATTCTGACGCCATAGGTGTCTCAAGTTAGCAAACGCGGCCCGAGCCTTGCAGATTCG